CTCGGTTATTCGATTTTTCGACTTGCTTACTTTTCGATTTCTCAACTTTTTATGTTTTCAATTCTTCAAATTTTCGATTTTCCGAATTTTCGGTTTTTGATTTTTTGAATTTTTGTTTTTCAGTTTTTTCATTGTTCTGTATTTTTACTTTTCAATTTTTCGATATTTGAATTTTCAATTCAATATTTTATCTCTCGATTTTTTGATTCCTAGAATTTTGGATTTTCGATACTCGAATTTTCAATCTTTTTACTTTTCGATATACCGATTTTTAAATTTTCGAATTTTCAATATTTCAAACTTTACATTCTTCACTTTTTAGAGTTTTTAATTTTTTTGCTTTCATATTTGTCAAAATTTTCAATTTTAGTCTTCAGTTTTTTGTTTTTTTTTAATTTTTTGCTTTCTGGAGCGCTCGATTTTTCAGTTGTTCAATTTTCAATTTTTCGAGTTTTCAGAAAATGTTTCAATTTTTTCGGTTTTCGAACTTTCGATTTTTTGTTATTCCGATTTTTTGATTTTCGATTTTTCGGAATTGTGATTTACGCCACCGGTTTATACTTTATAGACATAAAAAACAAAAATCGTAAAATCAAATTTTATAATTTTTCAAAGAAGCGGGAGGACAAGGGAAGTTCGGTCGAAATAACCTTCTACCAAATTTCTTATACACAATGTTTTATTGTAACCAATTCCTATTCGCTAATATGAATAAATATAAAAAAATATCAAAAAATTTATTTTGTGAATAATATACAAATTCTTTACGTTTCCGTCTGTCGTATGTCTATGTGTTGTCCATTGTTCTATCATCAGCGACTATTAGATGGGGAAACCTGGACTCTCCTAGACAAATTACTGACCTTAGGAAGATTCGCAATTGCACGATACGATTTTACTCCAGATGTATCGATTTTATTCATATATCTCTCAGGTTATTAAAACAAACTTTAAATTATTCTTATTTATTTTTGAAAGGGGGCGAAAATTTGCATATTTCGGTCAGATTTCATGAGTTTAAGCAGCAGTTGTAAATGAACTCTTTAATGGGTCAGGAAGAACAGTATAGAATTTTAAATATTTCAAATTGAATTAACTACTCTTACCTAGATTAACCTTTCAACAAAAAAAAAAAATTAAATTCATCAACTGAATAAACAAAGAGTTAACAATTTTTAACTGATAGATAGTAGCGGTTCCGTAAACCTAAAAAAAATATTTTCCATATATAGTGGAAATAAACTTCATCTAAAATAATATCAAAGAAAAAATGTGAAATTTAGGACCCTGAATTCACGTTTTATACTTACTCAGAAATTACTGACAAGCCACGTAAGACAGAAAGTTTGTATAAAATTCACCTTCTCTACTAAACAAAAACCAAATTACAAAATGCCGACAATATACGTCTTAAAGACCCGAATCCGTGAAAACTTCACCTCCTAAAAGATCGGTTTATCTGGAGATCTGCCGATATAATTAAAACCGTAAACAGGTGGGAAATCCGGATAAGCTCCCGGAATGTAAATTGAGACAAGGCAAGCGCGAAAATGCCTGGGATTATTTTATAAAGAACCCGGATTAAATCCCACCGTTTCCCGAATTCCATACGAAACATTACCTTAAAGACACCTGAAAAATAATTAGTCCTGTTTGTTCGAGGAACTCACAGTCCTTCCTCCTCCGCATATATGGTCTTAACCTAATCCTCAATCTATATTACAAGCGGCAAGTCATTTGCTTCTAAATTGGATTTTTTTATTTACTTTTTATCTGTATGTCGAAGGCGTCATTCCGGTGCGACTTGTCATTCCGCATAAGCTGCCATAAGACAGGGGCGACTCGAGACGAATTTAACTTGTGATGGGCTCATCGGATAGATGAGGAGATCAAAGGACACCGTAATCGAAAACTTGTTTGTTTCTGCGCACGGTTCGATTGCTCTTTTTGATTGGTGGTGGCGGGATAAAACGTGAAATTTATCTAAATATTTTGAATTGATGGCTGGCACAGGCTTTGTCAGATCCAGATGATGAAATATAACGCGTTCAGACGACGTAATAAAGCTATGTTGCCATAACCAGTAGCTTCTCCTTACATAAATCAGGCGCTTATTAAGTCAAGTGGTTAGGTTGCTAAGAATGGGTCGTTACGAACGACACCCTTGCTAAAAAATAATGTATAAGCTGTCATGTCGGCGAGCGAGTCCTGAAATCTGCAGACTTTTTCGGAATAACGTGCGAAAACACAGGGGCTCAATAAAAATTTTATTTAATTTTGTATCGTTCGGAAGGGGTGGATTAAAAGTGTACTTATTGGATTTGTGGTTCCTTTGCGGTGAACAAGTTGCTGTTGAGAGTGGGTATATAAAAATGATAAATGCGCAATTCATGCAAGCAGTCATTACGTATACTGCATTTATGTATAAAGCACTATTTAGAAAGTGCGGCATATGTAACACAACACAATGAGGATTAAGAAATAAGAATAAGCGCTTAAATAAAAACAACATTTTCAATAAAAAAGTTTTATTTTAAGCAAAAAAGCATTAAAAACAATCATATTACAAATCAAAGAACACTTCTTAGAACTTTGGATAAAATTTTATTACAATAATCCTAGACTCTATATTTTACACACGTATTTCAGTTTTATTTAAAACAATTTATGATTGTAATGTGTTCCAAGTTGTCCACTGTAAAATTTTTTCGCCGATCATTTAAAATGTGTTTAAAATTGGAGAATGTGCGTTCAACATCCACATTCGTTGTTGGCGCAAATTTGAATTTTGCAACTAATGTTGAATCTAACTCCAAATTTTCCACCTTCTGGCGTTGTAAAACACGAGTAACTTCGGAAAGAACACCGAAACCTGCATTTTTATTTAACACTTCGTCAAGTTTTTGAGATACTCTAGTACCAATATCACCTCTTACTGATTTTGCTTGTTGTTTAAATTCTTTCACTAAGTTGATGGCATCTACCAATAACATGTTGGGTTTTTCTAACTTTTCTATTACCTCACATACGAATTGATAATTGCTTCTTAGAAAAGCTAGATCTTGTCGCAAATCTTTGTTTTCCAAAATATTTATGCAATCTTTAATCGATTGAGAAGAATCTTCGCTAAACTCCGTTACTACTTCCTCAAATTCCTTGATATATTTGTCATAATAAAATGTGGCCTGTAACCATGTTCCCCACCTCGTTATAATCGGCTCTGGGGGCAATGGTATGTTTGGAAATTTTTCCTTAATATGTTGCACTCTTAGTGGGGCTTTAACAAAAATGTTTTTACCATTTGCCACTAATTTATTAACAGTAGGAAACTGCAAACGTATTCCTTCAGCCACTCTGTTTAAACCGTGGGCAATGCAAGTAGAGTGAATTAAATTGGGGTACAATATTTTTAGATTATTCCCTGCTTTCAACATATAACGAGCTACATCCGAGATCATCAATAAAATTTTATTCGCCGGTACGGCATTTGGCAAAAATAGTGACGTAAGACTGTCATTTACAAATCTGGTAATCGTATTGCCATTTGTTTCATGTAACATTTTCAAACTTACTACATATTCTCGACTAGGGACATTTTCATTTAAGATTCCAACAATTAAACTTGCCACGTATCTTCCACAACTATCGGTGGTTTCATCGACAGCGAACCATAAATAATTATCTCCAATGCGATGTTTAATTTCGTTGTAAACTTGCTGAAACACTGGGCCTACATAATTTTTTCGGAGAGTACTTTCAACCGGAATATGTCGATTGCAGTGTTTTTAAAGGAATTCTTGAAGAGAGCCTTTCTCCAATTTTTTTAGAGGTATATTGGACTGGATCATCATTTTACATAAATCGAAATTAAACTGAAACTGCTCATCTTTTGTGGAAGTAGATGCAACAGATTCATGTATGGTCTGCTGTTTAATTTTAGAAACTTCAAACATTTTCTTCCTTTCTACATGAAGAGTCGTTCTGACATGTTGCGTCACGTTAATTTTTTATCACTTTGAATCTAAAACAACGTACATATACAGGATTAACAAAGGAAAATAGATAAAAAAAAATTAGTGGGCTTACGGTTTTCGCACAAGCTCTGCAGAATATTTTGTTGTTTTCTAATTTTTATTCTGGAAAATCCCTTATCCACTCATCCGGCGTCGATTTTACTTTCGGCATTCTTTTAAAATATTAGTAATATTACCAAAAAGAACTCAACATGTAACAAGGGAGAACCACGTATAACACTGTACTACGACAGATGCGATAGACTGATGGTTGTGAAATAAACGGTTCATTTACTTAAAAATTTCCATTATAAAAATTTTAAGGTAGGTAGTTGGGTACAATAATCCTTTTTTCTAGAAAATCTTCAACGGTCTTGCCACAAAATGCCGAAAAAGAACATCTGGTTAAAAGCTTTAATTCATTATCAACGGAAGTAAGGATTTAAAGTCATAAAATCTATGGGGTATTTTTCCAATCCTATAATAAAATTTTATTACCCAAACGACCGGAACCTATTCACAGAAAGGGTCTTGAGTAAGTGTACTTCAATGGTCAAGTCCAGGTAAAATGCATACGATACGATACGGCTAACTAACAAGTATTTGTCATCCCGACAAGGCCGGTATTTGAACAAAATATGCATTAAAACTCATATTCGTCGAAAAAAGCATTAAATAAGCATATAAGTTTTAATATGCATAAAATTGAAAAAAAAGCAAATAAGCATAAAAAAAATGTGTCAAATGACTCCAAATTGTATCATAGTTACAGATATAAAAAAGTTTTGAAGTGCTTACATTTTTCACAAAAAGCATTAAAACTAGAAATCCGCTCTCTAAATATCATTGTTATGAAATAAACCCATACGCCGCCCCGGTACGACGCCTATGGGTCTTATAGTATGTATGTGTTTCTTCTAGTATGTATAATAATATGACTCATCGGCCGCACAGTGCCGCGTTCTCTAAAGGAAAACCTGGAAGCGGATGTCGCGACGGGCCCAGAAAACCCTCGAAGTGGCGTTCTCAAACCCTCGAGAGGAACAAATAGATTCAAGTAAGAAGTATTCTAAACCGTGGTGTGATACAAGTGAACTATTACTGTTATCGTAATTATTACTGTTTATTCGTCAATATTTAAAGTAATATTAGTGAAACTTGAGTTTTCTTTTCTCGTGTAAAAAACTGGTTTTTCATTGTAAGTTTTTATTTGCTTGCTAATTGTCCGGTCCTTTTTTAACCTCTTAACCTCTGTTTTGATCTTACACATCATAACCTCTCCGTTGCTTTCTTGTCTGTTTCTTTAATAAGTCCCCACGAAAAGCACCGTAGGGGTGAAGTGTGTGTCCCCGTCTTTTGATCTTTTAATCCAAAATTTAATTTTCAAAAATTATTCTTTTTGTATACATAATGAATTCTGTTTGTTGTAAATTTAAGAGTTTGGTGGTTAATTCTACATCTTGTTCTAAATGTAAGAATGTATTTCATTTGAGCTGTTTGCGTACCTTCAAAAATGATTCGTTAATTGCTGATGATGTAAATTCAACTCGATGTGATAAATCCAGTAAAACTGACCTTGAAAATACGACGATCACACTCCTGCGTGAACAGAACGAGTTTCTTAGAGCGGAACTTGATGAATTGAAGAAGTCCTTCAAGGATTCTGTTAAACATATTTTAGATGAAGTTGAGGAACGCGTATCCATGTTATTTGAGAATTTACGTGATGATCTAAAATCATCTATTACGACGTCTGTTAGACAAGAATTTGATGGTTTTAAGCCTGTGGTAGATACTATTTTTAAAACCAACTTAGGGTCAATTTTTACTAACCAAACACCTGCTTATACACCCTCTGAAACTGATAAACCGTATCTGCCCAAGTCTCAACTATTTAATCGACGTAAAATTATTTTACTGGCTGATGGCAAGGGACGTAATTGTGTCAAATTACTCAACGAATATCTATCACACAATGAATACGACGTTTCTTCCATAATCAAGCCCAATGCATCTTTTGAAATGATAGTTGCCGATAACATTTCGACGGTTCACTGTCAAGACATCGTTATGATATTTGGCGGAGATGTAGAAGTATCAAGTGGCAAAATACTGAATCATAATATCTTCAACGACTTAGCTTCTGACAAATTTAAAAATACTAAGATTATTCTTATTGGTTATCCATTTTCGCCAGATCGTCCCGTCTTAAACAAATTTGCATATGAGATTAATTGTCAATTACATAAAATTGCAACATCCAAAACGCATAATAATATATTTTTCCTTGATGCAAATAAATTTATATTTAGACAGTTTCAATCGCATATTTCCATCAATGACGCTACTAAGAGAATTATAATATTTTCTCTTGTTAATTACTTATCTCGAGGCAATGTTGATGCCCTAAATACTGCACCTATTTCTCCGATAAGATGTCAACGTTATACTTCAGTTCCTAGAAATGAAATATTTACCACTCCAATCAATAATTCAACTTCTATGCACGGTAAACCTCAGTTTTTTCGAGTCGGTTCGACTGCGTTCCCAAATTTTAAATAAAAATAACTTAGTTTCACGTCTAACGGCATCCAATTCTCTAATTCAAAACACTTCACTTAATAGTACTTTTACCACTACGACTCTGAGCTTTTTATATCAGAATGTTAGAGGCTTATAAAATTCCAAATTTGACTCATTTTCTAACAACTTATTATCTTGTGTTGACGAGGTCGACGTTTTCATTCTTACTGAAACATGGTTGCATGAGGACGTTGCAAATTCAGAACTATTTCCTGACAACTATTTCATCTTTCGCTGTGATTGAAAGTATAAACATCTGGGTGTTGCCAGAGGTGGCGGAGTTTTGATTGCCATCAATAACAAGTTTTCGTGTTGTACAGTTGACGTTTCCAATATTACCAACGCGATTCCATCCATCGACTTTGTGGGAATTGAAATCTTTCTCTCCAATTACTTGCATTTTTTTATCTTTACTGTTTATATCCCTCCATCTGTATCTATTACTGATTATGTGGATTTCTTTGATCTCGTTAGCAGTCTTGATCAAATCCATAACAATCTTGTTTTCTTCGTAGGTGATTTTAATACTCCTAAGTTTGGATCCGAATTAAACAATAACTTCAGTCACTGCCTTAATAACTTTGTATCATTTTGCGGCTTCTGCCAATATAATCATATTCTGAACAACTACGACAGTTTGCTTGACCTTATATTTTCTACGTTTCCCTGCACCGTTTTGAGATCTGATTTTTTCCTGGTACCAGAAGATCCACTTCATCCTACATTATTAGTCCATATTGATTTGGTACCTTGCAAGAAAAGTAACAATTTCTGTTTTAACTCTGATGACGCTGGTTTTAATTTTAGAAAAGCTGATTTTCCTTGCCTTTATGACTTATTATTAAATTATGACTGGTCCAATATATACAATTTTAACAATGTGGATGACGCCTGTGAACACATGTACACTGTCTTATATTCTCTATTTGATTTGTGCGTGCCCAAAGTTGGCTCTTCCAAGAAAACACGACGCATATACTCTCCTTGGTTCCACAAAGAAATTATAAAATGTCTTCGACTCAAATCGGTCATGCGTAGGAAATATGCGAAGACTCATAAACTGTACTTTCATGACCAGTTTCGGAAACTTAGATCTGATGCTAAGAAACTGATCACTAACGCATATACCGAATACCTATTGCAGATGGAAAAGAACATTACCCTGGATCCAAAAAAGTGTTGGTCCTTTGTCCGCTCAAAGAGAGGTGTTACGCGTATTCCCGGTACAATGTTTTACAACGATGAATGCAACTCTGATCCTAATATTATTGTTAACTCCTTTGCTCATTACTTCAAAAGTGTTTTTATTGACTCTTCACCTCTCACAGACGATGTTATTTTCACGAAGGTTAACAACACAGTATCGGTTACATATATATCTGAAGATGAAATTATTAAAGAATTGAAGCGTATGAAGAACTCTATGACTTCTGGACCTGACAGCATCCCAAGTTTTTTATTAAAAGATTGTGCCCATGTTCTCTCTAAACCGCTTTTACATATCTTTAATATTATGTTGAAGTCATCTACATTTCCTAATATCTGTCCGGTACTAAAGAAAGGGGATCCCTCCCAAGTCACAAACTATAGGCCCATATCCATATTATGCAATTTTTCCAAAGTATTTGAGAGCATCTTGTATGCTCGTATTTATACTTCTGTTAAAAATTATATTTCTGAATATCAGCATGGGTTTATGCAAGGAAAATCCACCATTACTAATCTAGCATATTTCTCTCAGTTCGCTTCTAATGCGCTAGATAGAAATAGTCAAGTTGATGTTATATATACGGATTTTCAGAAGGCCTTCGATCAAATTGATCACTACGTCCTGCTTAACAAACTTGAAACCTTTGCTTTCTCTAACTCTCTTCTTGTTCTTCTGAAATCTTATCTTCTCAATAAGCGTCAACAAGTTGTACATCGTAAATTTAAATCTATAGTTTTTGTCTCAACATCAGGTGTCCCCCAAGGATCCAACTTTGGACCCCTTTTATTTCTAATGTACATCAATGATATTACTGACGCGCTGGAACCCTGTAATAAATTGCTCTTCGCTGACGATTTAAAGATCTTCATGGAAATCGTGTCAATTGCTGACTGTGTCACATTACAAAATTGTCTCAATGTTCTATCCAAGTGGTGTAGTTCTAATCGTCTTCGCCTTGTATCCTTTATATAAAAACTCAATTACAATATATACCCATATTCAATTGAAGGAACAGTATTACACCGCAATTTCAATTTCAAAGATTTAGGTAGGTATCCTGTTTGATGCTCAACTTATGTTTAAAGAGCATGTATTTAATGCTATCAATAAGGCATTCAAAATCTACGGTTTCATATATATAGAAACTGTCGAAATTTTACCAATTTGATCATTTTGAATACCCTGTTTTGCTCATTGGTGCGACCTCACCTTGAATATGGTGCGTTGATCTGGTACCCCATCTATAGAACATATAATATGTCCATTGAAAAAGTGCAACGACGTTTTTTAAAATTTCTCGCCTTCAGAATGGACGGTGCTTATCCTGTACGTGGCATCGATTACAATATTCTCTTGAATAGATTTCAATTTTCTTCTCTAGAAACTCGAAGAATATTAACAGTCTTGCGTTTCCTATATAAGTTAGCTCATGGTAAAATTGATTGCCCTTTTATCTTGGGTTTTCTTCGGTTTAATGTTCCTCGTCCTGGAATGCGTTACGCTCCGTTGGTCAAGCTCTCTTACATCCGACCAATATAGCAGTCAAAGCTCCAGTAGCCGTATTGATGTCCACATACAACGTTCTTTGTCCAGATTGTGATTTACACCATGACTCAATAATTTCGATTCTAAATCATGCTCGTGCCGCTTTAAGTGTTGTGGAAACGTGAAATGTTCTGTTGTCTCTATTATGTATACCCTGTCATTTTATTGTGTTATTTATTGTATTTTATATTGTACACTTTGATCTCTGTAACTGGGTTTTTACCTGTAGAATGATCAATAAAGATTAAAGATTAAAGATTTAAATAGAGGCCACCGTAGGGAACTATTACTCAGTCAATTCAGTCCACGAGAATACAGTGAAGTTGCGCGGGAATTATTTTGTACATAATCGCTTTGTAATAAGTCGTGTAAATTCGAGTTAGTAAATCAACGTAACATTATTATGTGATCTGCAAAGATATAGATTGGGATCACTTTGGTGTACCCAGCATATACTTTTTAATTATGTTTCTGCAATCCGTTATTATATCATCCACTGCGTATATAAATAACAGTGAACTCAATATTCCTCCCTGTCTGCCTACTTTCACTGTTTCAAAAGATATTGATTTTCTGTTTCGTGCCCCAGTTTGATTTATTGTAGTTTAGTATAGGCTTCTAAAAGTTCTTATTAAGTCTAGATCTATTTTTTTGTTAAGATATGTCCAGATTGTTTCTCGTGTAATTGAGTACAGTACAGTCATATCAATAAAACTTAAAAATACTATTTTCTTTTTGTTTTAATTTTTTTGGGTTCGCTTTATTCCTCTTCTGTGAGTTTTTCCTCAATTACCATTTCACAGGTTTTTTGTGTAATATAAATATATTAGAGAGATCCCTCTGTAATTCCCGCAGCCTCTTGCGTAGCAAATATTATTTAAATTTTATAAAATAGCGTATACTCCTGTACTTGTGGTTTATGAATCCGCTTTGATTTTTGCCGCAATTGCTTCACAAAAATGTTTGTGCAATATTTGCCACGTGTTTCAAGTAGCCGATTTCTAATTTACGCAAGAAAGAAGTACTTCGTGGTCAGCTGGTTAAAGCGTTGACCTTGATCGTTTTTATTAATTTAATTTTATAATTTTTCGAAGAAGCTAGATTTATTGAGTGTGCTTCAGGTATTTTCCTTTCTGTTCAGACCATGTTAAGCATTTTGAGTAATTCTTCTGGGTGCGATGCCTAATTCTTCTTGTTTTTACTTCTCAAGCGTAAGCTAAGGAAGTATTATAATATGGGCCATCGGACGAATGGGGTGAGGGAATAATAAAAAAACAGAGGAAAAAATAGATAAGGAAATTCCTTCAGTTAACTTATTAACTAAAAAAAGGAATTATGTTTTTTATTACTATTATTATTATTAATGTAAATTGGGTAACCCCTCACTGGATATTCACCATCTAAGGCATAACCACAACGTCAAATTCGTTTTCATTCGTTTAAACAACTGCTCTTTTTAGCGTAACATTCCAATCCCTCTAATCTCACGAAGTCGAATAATTGCCTATACCCTATATTATTGACTGATTTTCTTATTTTTAAATTTTCAAATGCGATTTCACGGCGATGATTGTTTTAATTCTCTGTGGGAAGTTTAAATTTCAAATTTAGAACACCACACTGCACAATGTTTTGGCCACTCAATATTTCCAGAATCTTTTGTGAACAAACAACTTCGCCAAAAGCTCAACTTTTCCCAGTGAATTTTTCGAATTGTTGATTTCTCTCCCCACAAGTTTTTTACCGTTTTCTTTTTTTGGAAATTCCTACCATTTTTCCAAAATTCCCGAAATAAAGTATGACAACACAAACACTATTTTTTCCCAATTTTTGGCCAACCACTATTTTTGGAAGTGCTAAATACAGGGCTTTTAGATGTTCGACTGCAATTTTAGCTCGATACCATTAACCCTGTGACAACCCAAACATCCAGCTTTAAAGTGACATGTGAAAAAAATTTGAAAAGCCCGCGAAAGTTTCAAAAATTCAAAAATTTGGCTAGGAACCGCGCCCTCCGCTTCTGCCACATTTCTGTGTTATTTATCCCAATTCTATTTAAATATTCACTTTTTATAACTCTGATATTAAACTACAACCGAACAAGTGTTCAAGTTTCAAAAAAAGCAATGAACAACATTTGAATTCGCCATACACTCTCGTGAAATTTTTAAACAGCAAAGAATTCTCATTTGAGATTAAGATTGGACATCAGACAATTTATATGATGGAAGCATTAAGCAACAACATATTTACGTTTGCAAATTTCCTTTGAACATTTTCGAGCAAAAAAACTATTGCTGTTCTGTAGATAGTTACCATTTCGTATCGCAAACCCTAATGTTTTATCAAACCAAACACCTAGGTCCTTAAAACCCTTTGTTCTCTTTTAATGTAACTACCTTCAAGCGAGTACTTAATCAAAAATAATATCTGAAGATTTTCGAGACAAAGATAAATGTGACATTTATCTTTGTTTAATGTCAGATTATGGGTTGGAATTCCAGTCTACAATAGGTTCTTATACTACTCTGCAATTTAGTGCAATCTCCAATAGAGTCAATACGTTGACAAATTTTTATCATTTATGAAAAGAACAAACAACAAAGGTCCCAAGTCCGAGCCTTGAGATACCCCTGTACTGTACAAAAAGCGAATTATTTCTGAAATATCACTCAAAGGGTGTCATTCAATCATTAGAAAATCCAAAGTTGTTCAATTTTGTGATGAGTATAGTATGAACTATGCCATCAAACGCCTTAGTGTAATCAAAGTATAAGACATCAACCTGTTTGTGATTATCCAATGATTCACATAAGTATTGTGTAATTGTCACTAAATTAGTTACAATGGATCTTCCAACAATAAGGCCATGTTGGTGAACGGGGATGTAGCTATATATTTTGTTATGCAAGATAATTTCAAATATTTTACAGAAATTGTTGATTATAGATAGCTACAGGTCTATAGTTTTTCATGTTAGAACGATTGTCACTTTTGAAAACAGGTTGTATGCGGGAGATTTTCCACTTCGAAGGAAAAACACACGCTGCTAATACTTTATTAAACATTATTTTGAGAGAATACTTGAAGGACGATTTACAATCGAACACAACAAAGGAAGGAATTAAATCTCGTCCGGCCGTTAAATCAGCTTTTAAGTTTGTAATGGCTTACATTACCTCCTCTTCACTAATGTTGTTCTTAATGTATAAAATATTAGGACCTGGATAAAGATTTAGGAGTGTTATTTGTGTAGAATAAACCCTATCTATTGTCTAAAATATTCCTTGCCGTTCTATTTGACTCTCTCGTTTTCGCGGGCGCTCACCACCTAAGATCTGTGTCTCCGGCTTGAAAGCAACCCCGGCGTTCCCTCCCCCGGAAAAAACCGAATTAGAAAAATAATTTGAAAAGTTCTCAACAATGTCTTGCGGATTTGACATAGGATTATCATTGATTTTCATGACAGGGGGAACAGAAGTTGATTTGTTTAGAGAATTAAGAAAAGTGCAAAATCGCTTAGGATTTGTTCTGAAGTCTTGATTCAATTTCTTTGTGATTCCTGTACGCCCTATTTTCAGCATTGCTCTCAGTTTCTTAAATTCATTGTAATATTGTTAGTTTTGGATTGTTTAAATTTCAGTTAGAATTTATATTTTCGCTTTACAAGTAGTATTAACTCTTGTAAACCAGATAGAATAGGAACCTAAAGATTTTAATTTTTTTGGAACATTTTTATCAAAAGCTCGTTTTAATTTTGTATAGAAGCTAGAAACAATAGAATCAACGTACTTTTTATTAATGTATCTTAATTATCTTATTTACGAAATAAGAATTTTAATTAGAAACAGAAAAATGTGTTAAAATTCAGTTCTAATCTGGCAGGTTGGCATTTAAATAAACTTAAAAAAAAATAAAATTATCAATTTTTGTATACATGAAAAGAAATTGGTCACTTAGAATACCGAAATTTTAAAAACTTTATATCTGCATATCATTCTAAAAATAGAGGTTAAAATGAGGCTGTCGTTTCATCGAACGGTGAAAAAAACCGGCTAACTTTATTTTACACATATTTTAATGAAATATTTAGAATAGATTGAACAGAATAAAATACTAAATAAACCAGGTTATAAACAATTAATAATATATAATTTAAATATTCTTGGCAAAAAAATAAAAAAAACGTCATTTTTTCTCCTGCACGAAAAATCGAAAGAAAAAAATTGTCTGAACATAGAAGAAGAAAAAGAGTGCATACAAAATAAAATAAAATACTTACAATACATGTAACAAGACGTCAAAAAATGTTGATAAAACAAAAAGTAAGACAAAATTACCGATCAAAATAACCTTCATAAAAAATAAAAGCAATGTTAAAAAACAACATCCAATTTAAAATTAATACAAAATTTTTAATAACGATGCAATTCAACATTACAAAGGGTTAATAAGTAAATAAGATTTAAAAACTACTAATCAGAAAAATATCTGACGAGATATTAGTGTTTGAGTTTTTGTTGAAACAAACATATTGTTACGTTGTTCAGTGAACTAAAACCGGCGTGGGTAATACTCGACAATGTATCTTACTAACTTGAATTTACACGACTAACTATTACAACGATTATCTACACCGTCGTACCGGGGCGGCGTATGGGTTTACTTCGTAACAATATTTATTAAGTCCTTATGTAATGATTTGTACAATACAAATAATTCTCGCTTAATATCCGGGTTTTTATATAAATTTAGAATAAAAGAACTGAAGAAATAAGGCACAATACATTTAATAGTAGATCGATACACAAAATCTAATAGCGACACTTACCCTTTAAATCCTGATTTCCTTTTCTTCCGCGTCGATCCTTGCAGACTCCTTCCTCATGGACACATTAAAACACCCGCTTTTCACTTTAAGCCAGAATTCAAATTATTTTTAACAAAAATAAACCACTTAAACTAATTTACACACCGCATACTCTCTCAACAAAGTCAAAACCGACAAACTCCTTTAAAAAACACGTCTTTCGAGAAAATATTTTAATTTTTCGACAGTTAATGCAATCCAAGAGAGCTATAATTTAAAAGGATATATTTTCAAACATGTAGAGTATTGTAATAGAATCCATCTGGCTACTTTCATGTTTTATCGACATTTCATAATCATAACCCCCAGAATATAAAAAAATTGGTCGAAGTTTATTTCGGCAATAAAATATAATGAAAAACTTAGTTATCATATAAAGTTTACATTCCTCAATATGGTTTCAGAGAGTAAATATTATAAATCACATTCTGATATTTTTATAAAAATGTAACAAAAAACTATCGCCACAGTTCTCGTTGCGATAAATTTGTTCTTCTTGTTTTATACCAACTAACTTCTCCGTCATGTCCCATAGCGTTTCCTGAAGCCCTGAAACGCCGACTGTATTATAATCACCCACAACTCGACAATCCTCAAAATGTCGTCCACTATACATTTCGATATTTTTTTCAAGAGAGCAGAAAATACTAGTTTGGGCACCTTCTTCAGCCGTCTGAAAATATTACAAAAATAACTTCATAATAATTATTACACCCACTGTATGGCAAACCTTAGAAAACCAGTTCCTGATGCTGTCAAAAATCCACCACATCGTCGTCGTTTTACAACCATCAATCTTTACAGCACCTGGATGTACAGAGTACGTTGTAACAGTGGTATTTTTTAATCTTCTAGCCAGTTCTTTTGTAAACAGTATAATATACAGCTTAGTGCGACAATACATATTAAGATCTTCAAAATTTTTGCAAATGTCGCTGAAATCAACTCTGAAGGCAAGCTTCGCCACAGCAGAAGAAACATTAACAATTCGAGCAGAACCAGTTTTTTGCATCAGTTCTTAAAAAAAAGTTTAAGGTAATGAAGAGAAGAAAGAAAAAATGTGCACTCACCTAGAAGCAGATTTGTCAGAAGAAACAAAGAGAAGTAGTTAACTTGCATGCCTAGGTAATATCCATCTTTGGATTTTCTTTGGTCTGTTTGTGCCACAGCTGCATTATTTACTAAGATATCTAGTCTGTCTTCATTTTGGTTAATATCTCTGGTAAACCCTTTAACCGACTCAAATGAACCCAAGTCGATTAGTTTTACGTAAATGTTTGTATTGTCGGTTTTTTCTATGATTAGTCGGCGGGCTTTCGCAGCTCTGTCGTAGTTTCGGCACGCTAAGATCACTTTGGCACCTCTTTTGGCAAAGTTGAGAGCTGTTTCGAACCCTATACCTGAAGAAGAAAAATGTGCGAAAATGTAAAGCTGTGACGAGAATTACCTGTGCTAGCTCCTGTAACGATGACGGTTTTGCCACTCAAACATTTTTGACTCTGACACCATCCGAATGAAAATTTTAACTTTAGTTTAAAAATGACAATCAAAGTAACAATAATTGTAAGAAAAATAATCACTAAACTCATAGTACAGCGGTGACGAATCTAACTGATGCTCTGGTTGCATTCACCTACGAAAATTTGCACCAGTTAGAAAGGTTCCAATCAACTCAATCGACAGATAAAAACACCTTAGTTTTGGGATAATTAAATCGGCTTAAAAAAAATGCCCCGGAGAAACAGGTTTTTGCAATTTGCACTACATCTGTACCGTGATGAACCCATAATTAACTACCATCACTCAGTTTTTAAAAACTTATCTGTTCTTCATCGTGGCCACATTTTCCAAATCGTTTTTTAATTATGTAAAAACCCAACCCGACCCAAAAGTCCGACTTTTACTTTCTCCGGCACAAGCCTCTAGGTAAAACAACATTTCGATTCGGATCTTCTCATTCAATTTGTGGTCTCCGTAGTCCAATAGTTTTTTATCTGTCGATCTAAACTGACCATTCGTAATTTCATTTCCATATCTCCGACTACTTGAGGGAATTTGGACCCTCTCCAGTTATTGTTATCATCCGACATTTATTTCAATTCTGCATCCCTCGCCCATACATTTATCCATTTCATTCGTTTTTATTAATTTGCACTCTTTCTATTTTTCTGTTTTTCCTCCACAGTCTGGCAAACATAATAATGATTTGCATTAATATTGTCGGACCCTCCGAGTTATCTCCGCTCTGTTAAAGCTGTCAGTTCGAGAGCGTAACATATTTTCTCCTTTTCTTCCGCTTTACTAACTTCCACCCAAAAATTATACCCCGTGTGCCTTGACCAGAGGACATCTCGACTTGACGCTGTTATTACAGACTTTGTACACCACCAGACGGCCCCAGCTTATGCATTATGGATGCGGCTGTCCGCAATTTATAAAAGGAATGTGCTTTTTGCTTGGTAAATACATACTTACTGGAGTTGAGTCGCTGCTTCTAACTGCCCGGGTTCGAAATTAGAACGAAATTAGGTCATTTAGATATCATTTAACAAGCACAAACATGGAGTTATTTATTATAATAAGAATCGTTGCTTGGTGTTATTGCAAACTCATCGGGCTGATGAAGGTGCGTCGACCGAAACACCTATGTTTCTAAATTATAATATTTTAAACCTTATCTATCACCAAAATGAAGATTAACAGGTTTTGTTCAATCTGCCTAAAAATTAAAATTTGACGATAATTCTATTTATTTTTTTTATACTCGTAAGAATTTAAACTTTTGTGACTTCATTTCATTTCAAAATTTCGCAAATTTTTTTTTTAAATATGTCATTTTCTTTTGTATCAAATATATTTAAGATTTTACGGACACACTGTATTTTAAACAAATTTTTGAAAAATTAAAAACTAGTATCTTTTATTTTTTTCTAACAGTCCTTTTTGTCAATTCTATACATTCCAGTGGAGCAATTTTTTTGTCATTCTTTCTCTCGTCTCTTGTAAATGGATAATTTCTACCTGTGTTTTACATTCTTCCATCTTTGTATACTATCTGTTTTTTTTTTGTCTGCTACTATTGTTCCTTTCTATTTTTTCGTGTCATATAATCTTAAAACAGGTTTTAGTTTTCTGAAAGTAATATTCATTTCTGGTACCACACTTGTCCAATTTTGACCCTTCTCTTAGTGTTTTATTTTATTAAATATAGGTGGGCGCCACATTACTGCATTCTCAAATTTTCGAGAAAATGGGCTGATTCGACCTTCGCGTTGTAATTCAACATTTTTACGGCACGACCATCAAGTTTACCACACGTTAGTGTTCTTATACTGGTGTAAAACGTAATGATGTAATTTAGATTATTACTGCAAACATCTCCACTATTTTTATTTTTCTTATATTTTTCAAATGAAACACCAATTTTGAATTTGTTTATAAACTTTCATTTGTTTGTGGTTTGTTTGTGTTTATTCTAACAATAATTCCTAAGAAAGCACTAAGATACAGGTGTCCCATTTGAGAAGTATAAGAAAACAATTTCTAAATTTAATCACCCTGTATCACATTATATGCTAAGTATAAAGGCTTTTGCAAAATTATCAATTTATAAACATCTTACTTCAAACATGGCTACATCAAGAATTTCTAAATATCGGGACGTATATACAGGGTGGATCACTAAAACGCAGTTCTCGATTTCTGATTGATTAATAAAAAAACAAAGTAATATAATTTCAATTATACACAGTGTTCCGCTTTCTAAGTGTAATATAAAACATATTTTTCTTTTTTAAGAAACGCCCAGCAATTTTTATGTACTCTGTATAAGCATATTTATTTTTGAAAATCCGGTGCGAAGTTGACAAGTTTCTTGAATTTTTTTACTACATTGCATTTTCAAATGTCAATATTTCACTTTTTCAAATATAACACCCTGTATTGTATTTGTATTTTTTGTTCTAGCCATCAAACATCAAAAAAGCGAAAAATCGAAAATTTTAGAATAAAAAAAATAAAATATGGAAAAATTTACAGATTCCCAAAATTTAAATATTAAAAAATGGAGAAATAGGAAAGTTGAAAAATCGGGAAATGTAAAAATCGAAAATTCGAAAAATTTTAAAATCGAAAAACCGAGATGTAATGGAATCGAGACATCAAAAAATCGTAAAATCCAAAAATTTAAAACAAAAAAATGTAAAATCAAACTGAAAAGTCAAAACTATTAAATTTTGAAAAATTGAAAAATGGAGAAATATTGAACAAAAAAATCGAGAAATCGAAGAATCTTTAAGAATTAAAAAAATAAAATACTGAAAAATCGAAAAATTGAAAACCCGAAAAGCCGAGAAATTTAAAAACACAAAACGGAAAAATCAAGGAATTGAACAATTCCAAAGCAGAAATGACGAGAAATTGGCAAGTTGAAAAGTAAAAAATCGAAAATCCAAAAGTTGAAAAAACTAAAAATCGAAAAGCTAAGAAGTCGAGTCATTACAAAATTGAAAAACTGAACATCGAGTGATAAAAACACCAAAAGATCGAGAAATCAGAATAAAAGTTGAGAAGTCAAAAAATCGAAATAGCCCAGAATCGAAAAATCGAAATTTAAATTGTTAAAACCCAAAAAACGAGAAACTGAACAATTGAAAGATCGAAACACAGAAATCTCAATAGACAGAGAAATAAACAAATTGAAAAATCGAAAAGCCGAAAATCGAAAAATTGGACAATCCAAAAACCAAAAATTTTGAAAATTGAAAAATTTTAAAAATCTAAAACCGAGAGGCCAAAAGTCGAAAAATCGAAATGTAAAGAAATCGAAACATCAAAAAATCGTAAAAAATTTAAAACTAGAAAAATGTAAAATCTAAAAAATTGAAAAATCAAGAAACTGAAAAGTAAAAAATATTAAATTTCAAGAAATTGAAAAATGGAGAAATTTTGAAGAACTAAAAAATCGAGAATTAGAAAAATCTAACAATGGAAAAATTGAAAAATCAAAACACCGGAAAATGGAAAAATTGAAAAACCGAGAAATCGGAAATTTTGAAATCGAAATATCCAAAATTTTAAAAATCGAAAAATTGAAGAATCGCAAAACTGAAAAATAAAGAAATTTAACAATTTCAAAGCAGACATGACAAGAAATTGGCATGTTGAAAACTGAAAAATCCAAACTTCGGAAAATTGGAAAATCAAAAATTTGAAAGATTTAAAAATGGAAAAGCTGAGAAACTGAATAATCGAAAAATTGAAAAATTGAAACATCGAATAATCGATTCATTAAAAGATGGAGAAATCGAAAGAAAAGCCGAGAAATCAAAATATCGAAATAGCCCAAAGTCTGTTAAATGTTAAAACCGAAAAACGAGAAATTAAACAATTGAAAGATCGAAACACAGAAATCTCAATAAACAGAGAAACAGACAATTTGAAAATTCGGAAAACCGAAAAATCGAAAACTAAAAATTTTAAAAATTGAAAAATTGAAAAAATCTAAAACCGAAAGTCAAAAAATCGAAAGACCGAAAAATCGAAACATCAAAAAACTAAAAATTCTAAAATTTAAAAGTTAAAAAATTGAAAAGTGAAATTATCAAAAAATTGAAAAATCAGGAAAGCAAAAAACTGAAAAGTGAAAAATTTTAATCTTCGAAAAATTGAAGAACCAAAAAGCCTAAAAGTCGAAAAATTGAAAAACCGAGAAATCGAAAAACTGAAAAATCGTAAATTAAGAAATCGAATTATCCAAAATTTTAAAAATCGGAAAATTGAAGAGTCGCAAATCTGAAAAATCCACAAATTGAAAAATTCTTAAGTAGAAATGACAAATAATTGGCAAGTTGAAAACTGAAAAATCGAAACATCGAAAAATTGGAAAATCGAAAAGCTGAAAAGTGTAAAAATCGAAAATCTGAGAAATCAAAACATTAAAACATTCAAAAAATGAAAAACTGAAACATTGAGAAATAGAAACATCAAAAGATCGAGAAATAGAAAGAAAAGTCATAAAATCGAAATAGCGGAACATCGAAAAATCCAAGTTTAATATGTACTTATTTTAAAATCGAAAAAACGGGAAATTAAACAATCGAAAGATCGAAACATAACAATCTCAATAAACTGAGGAATAGACAAATTGAAAAATCGAAAGACCGAAAAATCGAAACATCAAAAAACTAAAAATTCTAAAATTTAAAAGTTAAAAAATTGAAAAGTAAAATATCAAAAAATCGAAAAATCAAAAAAAACCTTGAAGTTTAAAATTTTAATTTTCAAAAAATTGAAAAACGGAGAAATATTGAAAAACTAAAAAAATCAAGAAATCGAAAAATCTTTCAATGCATATTTAAAAAATTAATCGAGACATCAAAAAATCGAAAACTTGAAAAATTGAAAAATTGAAAAATCTAAAATTTATAAATCGAAAAATTGAAAAATCAAAAAGTCGAAAAGTCGAAAAATTAAAAAACCGAGAAATTGAACAATTCCTAAGCAGAAATGTCGAGAAAACCAAAAATTTTAAAAATTGAATTGAAAAAAATCCAAAACCGACAAGTCAAACAATCGAATCGACACATCAAAAAAATTGATAATTCTAAAATTTAAAAATCAAAAAATTGAAAAGTGGAAATATCAAAAAATCGAAAAATCAAAAAAAAACCTTGAAGTACAATATTTTAATTTTCGAAAAATTGAAAAACGGAGAAATATTGAAAAACTAAAAAAATTAAGAATTCGAAAAATCTTTCAATACATATTTAAAAAATTAATCGAGACATCAAAAAATGGAAGAATTAAAAAATCTAAAATTTAAAAATCGAAAAATTGAAAAATCAAAAAGCCTAAAAGTCGAAAAATTGACAAACCGAGAAATCGAAAAACCGAAAAATCGTAAATTAAGAAATCGAAATATCCAAAATTTAAAAATCGAAAAATTGAAAAATCAAAAAGCCTAAAAGTCCAAAAATTGACAAACCGAGAAATCGAAAAACCGAAAAATCGTAAATTAAGAAATCGAAATATCCAGAATTTTAAAAATCGGAAAATTGAAGAGTCGCAAAACTGAAAAATCCAGAAATTG